TAGAACTAGATAGTAGCAATATTTGCACAATGCACTAGGTGACAATGAATTATATACTTTACATTTTATATAGAATATAAATTACATGTAGGGAAAAAAAAAGCAAAACCAAAATTTTTTTCCTGGCTTCTTGGGACAGCTTCTTGGCAGTTTTATTGGGGAGGGGAAGGAGAGGTTCTGGGTCAATTTTGATTTTATCAGTACCGAACAGCTCCTCTCATGCCTTTCACTGCATTCTATTCTGAAAAGCAGATATTTTAACATTTTAAAGGGAACCCAAATTATCATTCAAATGATAAACTGCCACAGGGCCATTCTTTTATGATCCATATGAAGTGCAGGTCTTTTAAGAGATTTATGCATTTGCTTCCAACGTTTATATAGAACAAAAACAAGGAATATAGAACAAATCAAACATTGCACATCATAGATGTCAAGAAAAACAGAACAATCTTCCAAGTTTAATATATGGGCTACATAATCCCAATAGGCAAAAACATGAAAATAACATATCAAGTAATCTATAGCAAGAAGCCATTTATAGTTCACCTGGGAGTTGAATTTGTAATCTTTAATAAGCTTGTTTATAATGATGATGAAAAAGTTTCAAGTAAATGAAACGCAAAACAAAAAAGACACCAGGAATCAACTTGAAAGATCTCCCACTAGTTGAAGTTGGGACAAGTTCAACATTAATTATGATAATAACTGCAATGGGTTGTAACACACCAAAACCATTTAAATCCATGAATTTATAATGATACAAAGAAAACAACCTCCATTGCTCACCTTTGGAGGATGCTAAGAAAACAACTCATTCTTCCAAAAGATAGTAAATAAGGAGAAAAAAATGGAGCATTTATCCTGCCTTTCCAATATAAATTGTAAGTAAGGATAACCAAATAGTTGATGTCAGGAAACTTCTCTTTATAGAAGTATTACAGTTAATAAAAATGAAAGATAAGAATTAGAAAATTATCATTTTGTAATCACTAATGAATTAAAGGACTCTAGTTAGGTGAGGTCATCCACTCTCCAGGTTTTCAATACCACCAATTTGCTAATGTCTCCAAATTTTGTATCTTTAACCTGACCACTCCTTGAGATAGCCTCCAATATCCAAATACTTAGGAAATACCTCACATTTGAGTGTTTCATAGGTATTTTAAACTTAACATGCTCTTGATTCCCCTGCTCCAAACCTGTTTTGCTCACAATCCTTGCTCTCTCTCCCTCTCAATAAATAGTACCACCATCCATCACGCAACAGCTTAAACCAAGACTGTTATATTTGAATCTTCCTTTTATTCATTTTCTACGTTAAATCCTTTCATAAGTCCTATGCCATCTACAAAATATAACTGAATTTTGTTGTCTTCTTTTAATCGCCATTGTCATCCTCCTAGTCCCAGCTATTCATTCTCTTCTCTAGACTACTATACAGGTTTCTAGGAAGTGAGAGTCATATTTTAAAGATTAGTATCAGATCAGGTCACATTCCTGCTTAAAATACTTTAATGGAAATTGATAATCTGATTGTACAATTCTTAAGAGAGAATAAAGGGTCAAGAATAGCCCACACAATTTTGAAGGAGGAAAAAGAAGGTAAAGCGAGAAAGGGCACAGACTTTACTTGGTATTAAAACTGACTGTTAAGCCATGGTAATTACAAAAGTGTGATATTGGTGGAATAGCCAAACAAAATACAACAGAACACAGTCTAGAGATAGACCCCTGTTCACAAAGGAACTTAAATAGCAGACATACCACTACAAATTGGTTGCTGGGTATTTGGTGTAAAAAAATACAATTATAACATATCACACATCATATATAAAAATAAACTGCATCTAGATTAGACTTAATGTAAAAATCAAGGTAGCAGAATTTTTAGGGGAAAAAAATGCAGGAACCTATTACATCAATGTAGGGAAAATTCTCATAAATAAGACACAAAGAGCACAAATCATACTAGAAAAATAAACTTGACTACTATAAGGTGAAATTTTTCTGGATGATAAGGATGATAAGGAACAATGTAAAGATATATTAGAAATTTTTAGTATAGAGAAATATGAAAAAGAAAACAAATAAAAAGATCTATAATTGCACCAAGATTCTCCATTTGTTCACCTAAAAGTCAGAAATACTTATTACATAGCCAGAATATTCCAACAGTACAGGAAAGTGAAGAATAAAAATAAAGTTCTCTCCAAAGGTGACCACTGTGGTTTCTACAGAATTTTATAAAGCACATACCAGCAAATTCATTTAATTGAAAACTATCTACCTTACATTGGTAGTAACATGTATTTTCCTTGAAAGCCAAACTACACATATGCTGTATTTCTTTAAAAAAAAAAAAAGATACATAAGTGCATATTTGTAAAAGCAATAAGAAAGGTATGGAAAGAGGGAATAGGAATAATATTCTTTATTTTAACCCTTTTGTACTGTTTGAATTGTCATAGTGTGCACAATTTTGCTATTAAAAAGACTTAATGGGGCCTCCCTGGTGGCACAGCGGTTGAGCGCTGGGTTGCGAAGCTGCCCGCAGCCTCTGCAGCGCCGGTTCGATCCCCGGCTGCTCCCCGGCCAGCGGAGGAGGGTCCCACATGGCGTGCAGACCTCTCCTGCCGCCCGCTGCTCCCCTCAGCAGTGTACTTCGGTCCTTCTGCCTGCTCTGCTCCCTGCTCTGGCTCTGGTGAATTCTCTCACCCTCCTGCGCTTCTGACTGTACCCAATGCTTGTATAAATAAATAAATAAATCTTAAAAAAAAAAAAATAAAATAAAAAGACTTAATGAAAACAAGCAAACAAAACTAAGTGAAAAAAAATCTGCCACTTATTATTCTATCTGGAAAATGAAAGGTCTGTGAGCCTCCTCCAAAACCAAATTGACTGGGCCTCCCTGGTGGTGCAAGGGGTTAAGACGCAACCTATGAAGCTTTTTGCAACCACTGCAACACGAGTTCGATCCCCAGCCAGCCAGGGAGCTACCCATGTGGCGCAGCAGACCTCTGCTGAAACACTCACTGTTCCCTTCAGCAGTTTATTTCAGTGGATCTGCCTGTTCTGTTCCCCACTCTGTCTCTGGTGAATCCTCTCACCGTCCCCCCCCCCACCCACACCTCTGGCCTGTACCTCAGCTCTTGTATGCATAAATAAATAAATCTTTTAAAAAAATCAAATTGACTTAAGTTTTTATTTTAAAAAAATGCAAGAAAAAGTGCAAAAGTGTGCCAGGCCAATACAGCCTTTTCTGCCCTTCCTTCCTTCCTTCCTTCCCTCCTTCCTTTCCTTCCTTCCTTCCTCTCTTTCTTTCTTTTTTTTTAATTCAAAATCACTGAATTTTATTCTAGTTTAAATCTTCATTCTATTTGTGATCATGCCCCCTTTATTCATCCCAAATATTATTTTTTTCTAGATTGCCTATTGCAAGGCTTTATTTTTTAATACAGCCTTTCTTAACCAACCTTTAAAATAGTGTTTTTGAATGCTTTTGAAAGTGTTTGGAAAAGAAAAATTAAACTTGAAATACCTACATCAATTTGTACTCACACCAAACCATTATTTTTGGTGATCTGAAGGGGGTGAAGGAAGGATTTCCAGAAGCAGGCAAACTGTGTACCCTCTTTATTCTCACATGTAATATCTGTTACTAGAACACACTAATTTCAACAAAAATAATTTAAAATAAAACTACTAATATGAGCCAAGTTATTTCATATTCCACAAATAAAAAAACGCTAGAAGAAGAAAAGAAGAACACTTTTTGTTATGTTTAAAGCACAGGCTCTGGAATCCGAATCCTGAGTTAATAAACCCTGGCTGCATCTCTTCGGGCTGTGCAAGCCTCCACATACAACTTTACTCATCTAAACATGGAAGCAATAGCAGCATCTGCTCCAGAGGCTTATTAGGGGATGAAATAGTGCCAGGCCCTGTCATCAATGGTGTCGTGAATTTGGGGAGAGTAAAAGTTGAAATAAGAGTGCTGATAACTTCTCCAAAATCTGTACTTCTCCGAAACTCAGAGAGCAAGTGGTGCGAGCCGAAGCCCAGGTCACTCAGGTTTCCCCTCAGGAGTCGGGCTGGGGCGCAGACCTCACACCTCAAGCGCCCAGCGGCTACACCAGCCACCGCGTCTCCCAGAAGGAGCTCCAGTCCAGGAGGTTCAGAACGATGACGCCGTTTTCTTGAGGTGCAGGCTGGACAGGGCAGGTCAAGCCCCCCGGGCGGGAAGCTTCAGGAACTGCCCCATTAAGACTCCTGGTGCCGCCTCAACAGCACCCCCACCTCAAGCGCCCTTCTCCCCGCAATGGCCCTTTCGGGGCTCAGGGTCCTCGCACTAGTTCACACGGTCCGGGTCCCTGTGACCCCGCTGCAGCGTCCTGATCCCTTTTCTTAATCTTGCTTCCTTTTCTCCACCTCAGACTCCGCTCCTCAGTTCCCCGCCCCAGACGTCCCTGGGACTCCAGCTCCTCCATACCCACCTCAGGATCAATTTTCTGCCTCAACTACCACTTTGGAGCCTCAAAGACCCTCCTCCGCCTCGGGGGCGTCCGCCATGGTTCCCCGCCTCTCCCTCAGGTCCCCCCCACCCTTCTCCCTCAGGTTCCCCCGCCTCTCCCTCAGGCTCCCCCGCCTCTCCCTCAGGTCCCCCCCCACCTCTTCCTCAGGTCCCCCAGCCTCTCCCCCAGGCTCCCGGTCTCTCCCTCAGGGGGTACACCCCCCCCGCCTCTCCCAGGCTCCCCGCCTCTCCCTCAGGTCCCCCCGCCTCTCCCTCAGGTCCCCCGCCTCTCCCTCAGGTTCCCCGCCTCTCCCTCAGGCTCCCCGCCTCTCCCTCAGGTCCCCCCGCCTCTCCCTCAGGTCCCCCGCCTCTCCCTCAGGTTCCCCGCCTCTCCCTCAGGTCCCCCCGCCTCTCCCTCAGGTTCCCCCGCCTCCAACTCAATTTTCTCCCCTCAGCCTCAAACCCCGCGCTCCCGACCCGGCCCTACCGGGTTGCTCCAGGGTCAGTGACCCCAAGCGGCGGATGCCCTCCTCATCCAGCTCCCACTGCTCCGCCATCCCCGCCCGTCAGCCGCGCCGCTCACCTGCCGCCTCCCGCGAGACCGCTCCGCGCGCGACAGGCCCCGCCCCTTGAAGCCCCGCCCCAGATAGGCCCCGCCCCGGACAGGCCCCGCCCAGGCAGGCCCCGCCCCCAGGCAGGCCCCGCCCCTCCGCGCGCGCTCGGGAGCTCCCAGGGACCGTTATTGTCGGGGTCACGCGCCTGCCCCCGCGCCACTGGAGCCTGACCATGGTAGGAATCCGGCCCTGGTTTTGACCCAGGGGCACCCCAAAACCAAAACGGCGAGTGGGGGTCGTTGCGGTCAAGGGTCAGGGCTGTGGGTGGGGCTGAGGAGCGCGCTGGGGGCGTGGGCCTGCCTGGGGAGGTGAAGGCCGCGCCTGCTTTGAGGGGTGAAGTGTTCTGGCTTTAAGGCTTCGGGGGCCTCCAGGTCTGAGGGGTTGGGATGCGCAACTTGCCCCTTGAAGGTCTTGCATCTATCTCCTTGCTGGCTCTGCGGCGCGGGGGTGGGCACATGGGGCGGGGGATCCAGAGCTGGGGCGGGAGGGGCTGGCGTGGGGCGGGAGGGGTGTTGCGGGCGGGGCCGGGCCGTGGGCAGCTCTCTGAGGTTTGATGGGAAACCCCCCATCTGAGACGTTGGGGCACTTGGCCCTGAGGTCGTGTCTTTAGAGCATGAGATAGTTCTAGCGTGGTTCTAAATCTAAATCCAGATGGTTCTAAGTCGCCTTGGAAGGAGCTCTTTTGGAGGAGAGGGATCTGTGTGGGAAAGGGTGATACTCTTTGGGGATGACTGTAGTAGGGACACCCCATTTCCTGAAATCGGTGTAGCAAGAAGCCTTCCTTCAAGCACCATAGGCTGGCAAAATGGCGGTGACTGAGCGCTCTCCCCAGGCTGGGATGACTCTGGACTAACGAGCATCTAAAAACTCTTTGGGAAGAAAACTCTGCATGCAAAGAGCTGTCACATCCTCAGCCCCTTCCCCCAGTGCAGCAGGCACCTCTTGAGAGCCCATCTGTAGATGGGACATGTGAGAATAAGAAGGAAGCAAGGTCTTCAGCCCAGACCCTCTTGTCATACCCTATCCTTAGTAAGAAAAGAGGAACTGAGACCAGAACTGTAGCTCACATTCAAGGAGTGAATTTTCTCTGGCATACAAAATCTGCACATGCAGAGCACTTTTACTGAATTCTCAGCTAATTGCCTTTAAGGAGAATAGAAGGCAAAATCAAACAAAAAATGCGTATTTTTGCTTTCTGGTCTAGAGGAGGCTCTTAGTTACTCTCAGCTTGTCATGAGTAGAAGCCTTAGCCATGAGTAGAAGGACCAGGAATCAAAAACCTAGGTTAGCTCAAGAGATAATCATTTCCAGCTCTGCTTCTGTGAGTCATGACATCATTTTGCCATCTGTAATTTTTCTAGCCTCACATGTGGCATGTATTTGCTCCTCTCTATATCTGAATATTTGGAACAGGCTTACTCTAAGAACTCCGGCGCCTCCTTTATCTCATACATTTATTTTCCTTCCTCAGCTGTCAAAATAGGTTTTGTTGGAGAAAAGAGTGTTTCCTCTCTTGAGCAATCATTTCTTACTTTAACACTCTTCACCCATGTATATACCCCATTTTAATGCAAATGTTGAAATGTTCAGAAAGGTTGAAAGAATCACACACATAGCAACACATGCACTTGAATACACAGCAACCACCTAGATCCTACAATTAACATTTTACTGTATGTTTCATCACATGCTCTTCTATCCTTTCTTCTATCTACTCATCAGTATATCCTCTTTTTTTTATTGCATGTGGATGTCTAGTTGTCCCGGCACCATTTTTGAAAAGGCTATTCTTTACCCATTGAATTGTCTTCAGTCCATTGTCAAAATTCAATGGACCATAAGAGTAAGGGTTTATTTTGGGGCTCTCAATTCTGTTCCACATATCTGTATGTCTACTTTTATGCCAATAGCACACTGTCTTGATTACTGTAGCTTTGTAGTAAGTTTTGAAAGTGAAAATTGTGAATCATCAAATTTTGTTTTCCTTTTTAAAAATTGTTTGGATGACTTGGAGCCCCTGGTGAATTCTAACGTCAGCTTGTCCATTTTTGCAGGAAAATAAAACAGCTGGGACTTTTATAGGGATTGTGTTGAATCTGCAGGTTAATTTGGAGGATGTTGCCATCTTAATAACTTCAAGTCTTCTGATCTTGAACATGGAATGTTTTCCCATTTATTTAGGTCTTTTAAAATTTCTTTGAACAATGCTTTGCAGCTTCCAGAGTACAAATATGACACTTTGTTTAATTTAATCCTAATTATTTTATTCTTTTTGATGCTATTATTTTATTAATTTCATTTATGGATTGTTCATTTATAGTGTATCAATATAAGTTATTTTTATATCAGTCTGCACTCTTCAATCCTACTGAATTCATTTTCATTTATAATAATTTCTTAGTGAATTCCTTAGGATTTTCCTTTTTTTTTTAAAGATTTATTTTACTTATTTATGCATACAAGAACTGGAGTGTGCACCAGAGGTTCAGGGAGTGAAAAGATTCACCAGAGACAGAGTGGGGAGCAGAACAGGCAGATCTACTGAAATACATTGCTGAGGGGAGCAGGGGGCAAGACAGGAAAGGTCTGCTGCACCGTGTGGATTAGCTTGGCCCTGCTGTGCCCATGTGGGTTAGCTCCTTGGCTCCTGGCTGGGGATCAAACTCATGCCTCATAGGCGGGTGATAGCTTGATAGCTCTGAGACTTTAACCCCTGAGTCACCAGGGAGGCCCCAAATTCCTTAGGATTTTCTATAGGCAAGATCACATCATATACAAATAGATAGTTTTCAATATATTTGATGTTTAATTCCTTTTCTTTACACTGCTCTCTTTTCATTCACCCTTTAGGAGGAGTCTGGCATGCCTCATGAATCAGCAGAGGATTTGTTTCATTTCAATGTTGGGGGCTGGCATTTCTCAGTTCCTAGAAGCAAACTCACTCAGTTCCCAGACTCCCTGCTGTGGAAAGAGGCTTCAGCCTTGACCTCTTCAGAAACCCAGAGATTATTCATCGACAGAGATGGTTCCACATTTAGGCATGTGCACTATTATCTCTATACCTCCAAGCTCTCCTTCTCCAGTTGTGCAGAACTGAACTTGCTCTATGAACAAGCACTGGGTTTGCAGCTCATGCCTTTGCTACAGGTAAGAGTCTCTTCTTTTGCAGGAGTGGTGATAAGTAACATACATCTTACATCACTAAATATTTTGTCCTTTTATAGATTGGTTGCTGAGATGACCCTCTTAATAGGCAACTGTGATAAGAGTTAAAGTAATAAACAATACACTTTATTGCATGTTCTGAATAAAGGATTTCTTCCTCATTGTCTTATCTATACCAGCAGCCACCAGGGATCCAGGATGGGACTTACCACCCGGTGAGAGGGTGCCCTTGACTCTTGTAAATTCCGATTGAAGCTTCTTCTTGCTTTTTTATTATTATTATTAATCCATCTATTTATTTATCTTAGTATATTTTACATTGTTCATTTTTGTACAATGCATACTTGTATGCTTTCTCCTTTAGGTATATTCCCTGAAAAATTCCCACCACCAGTTCACCTGTGAACCATCACCATAGTCCTGGGTGCTCTTCTCTCCCCTGTTTTGATTCCTCCACCTCCCCCTCCTTTGCAAAATATCTCTGATTTATAGTTGCCTGCTAATTTTCTTTTTATTGTTATTTTTTTTCCTGATCCCTCATTTGGTTCCCCCATATTTCTCCTTAAGTGAAACCATCCAATATTTTTCTTTTTCCTTCTGGCTTATTTCACTAAGCATAATCCTTTCTAGCTCTATCCATGTTGCTGCATATGGCTGCTTTTGTAATTAAATTTGGAAAGGAGAAAATTTTTGAAATTGTAGAATTTTATATGCCCATCGAGTCTGAGATTTAAAATCTAAAAGATCTATCAGAATGTTAATTTCTCGTTGTGCCTGTTAGGTAGATTAGGTAGATATTTATGGTAAAGCAAAGCATCATCCAAACTACAGAATCTTTCCATTGTCTTCACACCTCTGTTTTCTACTTGTAAGAGCTTTAAATATCTTTTCTCACAGGCCATTTAAGTATCATCAAGGAATATTGCCTTCTTTCCTAATTTTTCTTCAAACTAAGGAAATCAAAACTTCTGTGTCTTAGGTAGTTTATTTTTAGTTTTTGAACAATGACTTTTTTTTTTTAAACAAGAAAGAGCTCAAATATTATTACTGGGAAGGACGATTGACCGTATTTCATATTAATCCCACTGTCTGAACAAGGTATTGTTTACTCTCTCCATCAGCACTGTCCCAACAAATTAGAATACAGCTCAGAAGACTAACAATTCTGCCTTCTCAATATTGCTTAGAAGAAAATTGAGATAAATTGTGCATATCTGGGTTATATAGGAATGAGAACATTTCATAAAACATGTTTTTATGGATACTCCTCATTAAATAATTCAGTGTTTTCTCTTTAAAGTTAGATATTTGGAAATCAAAACCCATAACATATTCCAGTTCAAGTTGTTATTGTAGTCTTTCCTTTATTTTCAAAGCAACCTACCTCAAAATCTTTTCAACTGCCCCAGGAATGGAGTAACAGAATTGTTTACAGGAGACTTCAAAGTCACTTTATTTATTTTTTTAAAGATTATTTATTATTCATACAAGAGCTGGGGTACAGGCCAGAGGTGCAGAGGATGAAAGGATTTACCAGAGACAGAGTGGGGAACAGAATAGGTTGAATGAAATACACAGCTGAGGGGAGCAGTTGGCACAACAGGAGAAGTCTGCTGCACCATGTGGGTAGCTCCCTGGCCGGCTGGGGATCGAACTCGTGCTGCAGAGGCTGCGGATTGCTTCATAGTGTTGTGCTTAGCCCTTTGCACCAGGAGAGAGGCCCTTAAAGTCACTTTAATGCCTGGCATGTCAGGATTACTGATAACTCTATGCCAAGATGCCATATTGTGGGCAAAAG